TGTTTAATGTAGATGGCTCTGTCTGGGGGTATTTCTAGACATCGAAGGGGCATTCAATTTCATCTTCTTCTTCTCGATGAAAAATTCTGAAGAAAGCTTTGGTATAGAGTACCGTAGCCAGAGACGAGTTAACATCTAAAAACTAAATGAAGAAAGGCTTTTATACTTTTAACGAATTCTTCAAATGGGTTATTTGTTTTCCTTGTATAATGTAGACATGTTGCTTTTTTTGTGATAATGTTTTAAAAATCTTTGATGTCATGCACCCTTCAGGACTTCTCGCTTAACTAAGGCCCCAGCACCGTGGTTGACTCCCAACTTGAAATTCATGATAAACCTACGTAGAAAGGCTCTCTCCAAGTATAAAAAAATAATAAAACAGAAGCAGCGTGGAATTACTACAAAACTTTAAGAAACCAGGTGAGTATTGTTGTACGGGCCGAGAAAAGGTCATACCTGCAGTTCACCTTTAAACGAGATCCAAAAATTTTTTGGCAAACCATTAAATATCTAAATTTTAGTTCTAATTAAGAACAGTGTAACTCTGTTTTAGATTGTAGTATTGCAGGTGATTTCAACAAGTTTTTCTCGAACTCATCCTTCCATCCATTGCTAATGATAATACTAACCTCGTCAATATTACTTATAGTAATAATAAATGCGTTGGGCCTCGCAACCGCTTCGAATTCTCTACTGTTGAGCCTAGGATGTCGAAAAAATCATCATGGGCTTAAAAACTAATGCAACGGGACAAGATTGCATCAATTCGATTAATTTGAAAATGTTAGCTTTTATCGTGCCTCACCTGACGAACCACATAACGTTCATTATTATTCATTGCCTCTCTCTTGGTGTGTTTCCGTCGATGTGGAAAACTAGCAATGTCGTTCCTGTCCCTAAAGGTATCGCACCCTACTCATTTGGCTGATTTCAGACCAATCAGTAGTATTTATATTGCCTACGATGTCAAAGATCCTTGAAAGAGTTGTTGCTGACCAACTTACAGCGTTTCTTTCAAGTAATAACTTATTACCATCCACTCAGTCAGGATTCCGTAAACACCACAGTACATCGACTGCTCTGTTACATATAACTGACGATATTTTTTCTGCATGAGACCATGGTCTTTGCACCTGTCTGATTTTGCTGGACTACAGTAAAGCATTATACTATAAACCATGACTTTGCGGATGAAACTTCAGTATTTTGGTTTAGGCGCAATGTCCTTGAATTTTTTCAGCAGCTATTTTACTGATAGGTCTCAAAGAGTGGTGATTGGCGGACAGGTCTCAGAGGTCACTCACCTTAATAGCGGTGTTGCTCAGGGGAGCATCTTGAGCCCCCTACTGTTCCCTTTATATACTTCAGACTTCTCATCTTTCCTAAAATTTTGTCACAGTCACTAGTATGCAGATGACACCCAAATATATTTTTCTTTTAAACCTGAGAATATCATAAACGCTATTAGGGATAGCTTTAACACGTTTAACACTGACTCAATGTTGAGATTGTGCGATTTCATGTTGCTGTCTCATCTAGGTTACTGTGATGTAGTGTACTGGCCTGCCTTAACCCAACGGGATAGGTCCACCTTACGGTGTCAGAAAATTTGACCATATATCTCCATTTTTAATTCAGTTTGATTGGTTAAATTTGTCCGAAAGTTTTTTTAGCCACATGTCAACTTTGATTTACAAAATCAATAAGCTTAACACCCGCCGAAAAATTGGTCAAACGATCTGACATACATGACAGACACACTCGTCAGTGTGACACACTCTCCATGCCCCGACATGCCACGAGCCTCTTCCAACGATCTTTCAGATTTACCGCGGTTTCTATTTCTAATTCCTTGTCTGATGACGTCAGAAAAGCTAACTCTCTAGAGATGTTAGGGAGGGAGTTGAGGGCTTTGGTGTTCGCCCAAAACTCGTGTGATTAGAACGACTCGGTCTACGACGTCGTCGTTCTAATCTTTCACACTCGTTATTGTAATCATGTTCATAAACGCACTTGTAATGTAAATAACTATTATCATTATTATTATTATGGAACTTTTCTCTTCTCACAGAATTGTGGTTCAATGTTGCTGTGACGGGCTATGCCAAGTCACTGCAAATACTGTTATTATTATATTGAATTGTAGAATGATCTGACAATATGGCATGTTTTTAAGATGACTGATTTCTGAAAGTTGTGGTGTATGTTAGTGTTGAGTCCTATAGCTGTTTCAGATGTGATTGGAATGTTTTGGGTGTGAGGCCTGTTACTGACATAATCGGGGGATAATAGTAACTTTTTCCTGCTTCCAGAGTCTCTTCATTTCGATTGCTAGGTCTGCGTTACAGATTTTTTTCATTGTACTTTGTCTGGATGTTTTTATCACTGGGAATAGCCATGTCAATTATGGATGTGATTTTTTCTCTTGTTAAGTGAAAGGTGATATCTGGTCTATTGGCGGATATTGTTCTATCTGTCTGAATATTGATATTCCAGTATAGTTTGAAATCCTTGGTTTCGAGTATAGACGATGCTGTGTATTTGTAGTATGGCTCTGTGATTTCTATTAGTTTCAATGCTATTATTATTATTATTATTATTATTATTATTATTATTATTATTATTATTATTATTATTATTATTATTATTATTATTATTATTATTATTATTATTATTATTATTATTATTATTATTATTATTATTATTATTATTATTATTATTATTATTATTATTATTATTATTATTATTATTATTATTATTATTATTATTATTATTATTATTATTATTATTATTATTATTATTATTATTATTATTATTATTATTATTATTATACCATTAAGTAAGGTTTTAGTTAAGATTTGATGTTCCATTATGAAAGATTTCAGTGTTTTATTATCGCTTCTTGTCCACAAAATCAAATTTCATATTGGGTACATAAAAAGTAATGTAAGATTTAAATTTTGCAGTTTTCAAAACAATTTATAAGCAAAACTATTCATATACACTTAGAAATGGTTTGAGAAAGAAAACAAAATCACATTTTTCATCACAACAATAACTTTCATAAGGAACGGTGCCAAGTCGTAACATTTTAGAGGTAAATGATTTCGGGAAGAATGAAATAATATTTACACGAAAAGTGAGTGCTAAGAATGCACCAAGAATTGACGGGAACAATATTTTCTATAGTCGACTTTCTTAATTGATTTGTAGAAAACTATAGATTGAATGTGGAAAACAAGATTAAATACGTGCTTTCTCAGTAGTAGACCAAATAATACTGAAACTTTGCCAATTTTCAATAACGATTTGACAAAACGGATATCTATTTCTTATATAAGTGCTTGTCAAATAACTATTTAGAGATTTGAATGGAATAATAATTCAATTTTTGCACTCCTCCAAACCAATCAAGAAATATCATGAAAAATTGCTGCTTTCACGGTACAATTTCAAATAAATTGTTTATGTAGCAGTAAATGTTAAAGTGGTGAAGCGTTTTATTACCTAAGTTTTAGAAATACATATAAGCTCTGCCAGAGAAATAAGAAATAAGAGTTCTTTCAAATGTTCAAAATGGCTAAAATAAGTCAATCAGATTCACAGAAAGTCATTACCTGACCCCCATGCACCAAGACAAATAAATACCTAGAAAAACAATATTGAACTTGAAACCAAGCAAAGAACCTCATGGAATTTTCCAATTTAAAATTATCATTTTGCCTTTCGTTCCTTCCATAAAGTAATCCAGGGAAACGAATAACCAAATTACTGCCAAAGGTATTTTTAGCAGCAATATGCATTGTTTTCGCGTTCAAGATCATTCCAGCTATAAAATCGAGCAAAGTGTTTTTCCTTCTAAACATTAAAAACGTACATTTTTGAGTGTTGCTATAACCAGTGCTTATTTTTAGAAGCCTTTTTGTCGAGATTAGCCAAACGTTTCGCTTTTACGGTTTCGTTTTGCCCGTTCCCAGTTGGAACGTTTCAAGATGAAGTCATTGAACGTGCTGTTTTCGAGACGAACGATACGGAAATTGGACAACAGCTGCTGTAGCTATTAGCTGTAGTGATAGAGAAATTTGAAATAAATAGATTGGTCGTTATTTTGGAAACGCACCAGGAACGGAGGAAGCGAAGCTGCTAAGTGTTTATATTCAACAAATTATATAAAACGTCCTTATTAAAATGCCATCCCTACAAAACAACTTCGTCTGTAGGAGAGAAAATATCCAGTCTATTAAAAACTCAATGAGTAAGGAATCCGAACAACAAAACTGTATATCAATATCAGCCATACAGATAATTGAACTGGATCGCAAGCAAAACTTTCAGAATTGTAGGCTCATTACAAGACTGTGACCCCCTAAGGAAGCCTTTCCAATCCAACTGCCTGCAGGTTATGCAAGAAGCTGGAAAAACAGCATCTAACATAATTTCTCCTGAATCACTAGAGACATGCACTCTTCGGGGATCTACCATTCACTCCATGATAATCTAGCAAACTATCTTCTCATTACAGTTCTGTCTCTATAACAAACTAACCAACTAAGCGATTTATCAAATTATCTTCCTATAGTTTTCTGTTGAAACGAAACACTTTAAAAACTTAAAAATATTGATCGATAGTTTTCTAGTCAACAGTTGATGTCCAGCAAAAACTTCATTTTACGATGTAACATGTCTTCTAGGAAGCAAATCCAACGAGAGTGGCTTTGGTTCAAGGTTTTCTTTGAACCCCATTAAGAATTAAAGCAAATGCACCCATATTTCCTGTGCTGCTTTATAATGTGTTTTAGAGAGTTCTGTGAAACTCGAATGATAAACCTCCTTAAAACCAATTTCATCTAAAAACAACACAATAAATTAAATGACAATCAGAGTACCTTACCTTTGACAAACAAAAAAAATAATGAACAGGTATATAGCCGATTGTTCAGAAAACACAATTCAATCACTTGGCAACAAGATGACGCGACATTAAAAATTACTGGTAAGTCACTGTCAATTTCATTCCATTTGGATTCAGTTTGCAAAATTCTAGTTTCCTAAAACACCAATAAAAATGGTAAAACTGAAACCTCCACAATTTAGAAACCCCTGCCAAGTGATCAAAGATTGGGATACAAAGGTAAAAATTTACAAAAATAACAAATTTAACAATAATTTCAAATTTTCCAGAACAATTTCTGGAGTTTCTGGTTTTACAAAAGATACTATGGAGTTATTCCAATAGTTACGTTAGCCTGCCTGGATGTCTGCTGGTTCACGTTTTGTAGCATTCAAGGTTTCATAAGAACTGACGTAGTGCTGAGCCGTCATGGTATTAAAAGTAAGCAGCAAGGTGAACTGTACGACCTACTTCTACATCCGGTCAACAGAAAGTTTTTGACTTACTATCAAACGTTCGAACCCAACGAGAATTTGTTTAGTGCCTACGAGCAGATGAAAGATGCTGAAAAACGTGTTTGTGAATAACAATGAGTGCAAATATTTCGCAATAAAAGTATAATCACTGAATAAATTTGTTATTTTTTGACTTATACTTAGCTTCATCATGAAAGTTTTGAAGCAGAATCTGTGCGATACGTTTGAAGATGTTTTGTATAAGCATGGATGAGCTAGTTCTTGACATTATACATTGGGTGGTATGAATAAAAACGAAGTACATGCTACTACTACAAGTATTAGTATATTCTTCGCAGTATTTACTTCACAAAGAAGCATTTACTAATTTCCAGTGTAGTTATGATTCCTATTCAACGTCGCAAAAACTATTCCAACTTTGAAGCCTGTCTATAAACTTGCTGTTATAATGTTATTCTCCTGATTACTGTTGTAATGCGGTATGCTACATTATTCTTTAGAGGACCCCAAACAAAAGTGTCCAAAAGGGCTATTGGGTGACCAAAGAATGGAGCTACTACGTCCAATTCATTCAGTATGGCGTTGGTTTAAAAATTGAACATCTTGCAAGACATAAGAAGGAGCTCCATCTTGTTGCCAATTTAAGTTTCCATATTCTGCAGGGTTAGCACAACTATAGGCAACCGTCTATGGATGCGAAGCAACCACTGTATAAATTCTTCTTCTTCAAGTGCCTATCCGTTCCGGATGTTGGCTATCAACATAACTATTCTTACTTTGTTGATGGCGATTCGGAAAAGTCCTACTGTTGATTTGTCAAACCACGTTTGCTAGCCAAGATATTCTCCTTGGGTCAGATGCTCTCCTGCTATTAATTTTGCCTTGTAGGATTTCCTGTAGCAGTCCGTATCTATTTGGGTTCCTCATTATGTGGCCCAAATACTGAAGTTTCCGACATTTTATGGTATCTAACAGTTCTAGTTGTTTATTCATCCGACGCATTACTTCTATGTTGGTAATTTTTTGTGTCCAAGATATTTTCAGTATTCTCCTGTACAACCAAAGTTCGAACGCTTCAATTCTTCTGGCGGTCTCTTTAGTGAGTGTTGAAGCTTCTACGTCATACAGAAGGATCGAGAAAATGTAACAACGCACGAGTCTCAGCTTCATGTCCAAGGATAGATTATGGCTTTTGAAAAGCGAGCTCATTTTAATAAACACAGAGCGGGCCTTTTCGATGCGACTCAGCGTTGCCAGACCCTCGAAAATTAAAGTATTGATCAAGAGGCAAAAAATTTACTGAAAAACGTAAAAATGTACTAACATCAGAAACTGAACTGGAGTTCATAAAACTAATAAAGTAGATTGTTTTAGCATACTTATTTTGTTTTTTTAGGCTTAAGACTATCCTCTCAGCACAAGCGCTGCTTTATGGCAATCTCGTTACATTGTCAACATCAAAGAAACGAAAAACACCGGTAATTTGCCGCGTTTTTCATGTGATAAAGATTGAACCGAAATTTTTCAAAATCGTTACATTTTCAGAAGATCTGACATTATAGATTGGGGGCAGGTTACTTATTTCACGAAATTTATTGTTAATATCTTCTAGCTTCTCAAGAATGTACATGTTAGGCAATTTAAGTATTAGGTAATAGGTCAGTAGGAATATTTCTATCACCCTTGGAATTTTTTTTGATCTAAGAAACGTCAAACATCTAATCTAAGCAAAACCCTCCTCTCTGGTGGATCTTGTAAGTAATCCAAAACTTCAGCATAAACTCCTTTTTTCTTGAGGGGCATGCCAAATTTCCGAAAGGTCAGTTTCTGCAGAAATCACAAACCAGTCAGAGTAAATTTCATTGGTTGAAACTAGTTTCTGACTGTTTTTGACTGGAAACAGACCTGAACTAAGCGAGATTAAACTCCTAATCGAGATTAAGTCCATATACGGGCGTAAAACGGGCGCGGGCTAAAGGCATGTTTGGGGTGCACTCAAAATTTTGCTTATTACACACTCTAGGAGTAATCGCCGCCATATTGGTGTTCCACCATTGCCGACGTCATAACTAAGTCGTCAGTTGTTTAAACAGTCTACGTCAAGGCGAGTAATAAAATGCTGCCTACGTCACAACTGGAAGTTTGGAAGGGGGGAGGAAGAGGGGGATTTGTTACACACATGCATTATGAGGATTGGCCATCCTGGTAGTAATAGTGTGTATCGTCCTTGCTTCCGTCCATTCGAAAATGCAGGTATTCGTTAATTTTTCCCGCCGTTTAAGAATATCCCCGGTATTGTACAGCGGCGGGAAAATGTACTGAATTTTATAGTGTGGTACTGACGTACGAGGGTCAAATTGTACTGATTTCAGTACATCTGTACTGATGCTAGCAACACTGGCGACTTCGTATTTCTTGAGAGTTGTCCCATCTCTCGTTAATGATTGTCCCCAAGTAAGTGTACTGCCTTACTCTTTGTCTTCCGCGATGTTTCTTTTACTTACTATGAGGAGGTTGGTTTTGTGTAGGTTCATTTCTAACCCGTACTGTGAGCTAATTCTGGTCACCCTACCCATCAAACTTTGTGATCCTTGAAGACTATCTGCAAACATCTGCATATCTTATGTTATTAGGTTTAGTACCGTTTATAGTGATTCCTTCCCTAATGTTGTCTATTGCTTCTCGAAAGATGTATTCTGAGTATACGTTAAATAGGATGGGCGACAAAACACAGCCTTGCCTCACTCCTGGTAGTAAATTTATTTGTTCTGTGTGACTGCCATCATTTCTCAAAACCGCCGTCTGGTTCCAATATAAGTTTATAATCTTTTTGATTCATTCCTATTTGCTTCAGTATGTCGACCATTTTATCGTGTTGAACTTGGTCAAATGCTTTTTGATAATCGATTAAGCAAGCATAAACATCACAGCTGACATCCCTACATCTCTGAAACAAAACCTGAACACCAAATAGAGCCTCTCTTGTACCGACTGCGTTCACAAACCCAAACTGGTTCGGTAAAATCTGTTCTTCGCAAAGTCTTTATATTCTTTTGTGTATTATCTTGAGAAACAGCTTTAAGAGGTGACTCATCAAACCTATTGTGCTAAAATCACCGCAGGTTTTGGCACTTGCTTTTTTCGGCAGTGTGATAAATTCTGACCTTAACCAATCCGCTAGAATTTCTCCTGTTAAGTAGATGTTGTTGAATATTCTGGTCAGCCATTTGATTTTATCCTCGTTCAGTAACTTTAGGAATTCAGTCTGTATTTGATCCAGACCAGCTGCTTTCCGTGGCTTCATTTCCGAAATGGTGGCTCTCACCTCTTCCACAAGAATTTCTGGTCCCTCTCCTACAGTTGGTTTTTGTTTTTTGCGTACATCATGAAATAGATTCTCCAGATATGTTTTCCAGGCCTCCTTCTTTTTCTCCGCGTCAATGATGATTTCTTCTGCTTCGTTGATCAAAGGTTTACAGTTGTTTTTGTGGCCTTTCCTTGTTACTTCACGGAACTTCCTGTGAACATTGAATTCATCGTGCAGGTTTTGATGTTGTTCGATCTCGCGACATTTTTCTTGTAGTTCTTTTTCTTGCGCTTTCCTTATTTCCTATTTTATAATTTCTAATTCTAAACCTCTTATTGACTAACATAAAGTTGATTTAGTTTCTGACTATTCTTCCCGGTTCATCCATAGATGCTTTCCACGTATATAATCTTCTTGGCGGCAGTTTGAACCAAATGTTCATTACTACGACTTCATTTGTTACTTCACAAACTTCAAGTGTGTCCCCTCTTTTGTTTCTTTCACTTAGTCCATGTGATCCTATAACCGTCTGATGTATGACCTTCTCCCACTTTTGAGTTAAAATCGCCCATTACAATTGTGATATCATGCTTCTTCAGTTCTTTTAGTATATTATTGACTTTTGTGTACATATTTTCCACTTCTTCATCTTCTTTATCCAGAGTAGGGGCGTATATTTGTATGATGTTCATGTCAACCGGACTCACTCTTATTTGGATGAGCGCTATTCTTTCTGATACGGGTATAAAGGCTTTCACACACTGCGCTATTTTCTTGTTCAAGACAAAACCCACACCGTGTTCATGTTTTCCGTTCGTAGTGCCTGAAAAGAAAACTCTATAATCCACGATGTTTATATTACCATCAGTGTCTGGCCATCTCATTTCACTTATTCCAAGGATATCTATCCTTATTCTTTCCATTTCCATGATTGTATTGTAAATTTTACCTGTATAAATAGGACTAGGAAACTAGAATCTTAAAAAGAACAGAGGATTTAATTAGGTAACCCTCAAAATGGTAAAAAATATTCCAAGCTGGGTGAATTCCCGAGGAAATTTGGCAGTGGCTCCAAAATTGTTTTGCCTACGGCGCTTTTTCTCCCGCATTTTTTCAATTTTTTCATTTGAGCTATTGAATCCTGGAGCATCCAGCACCCAGAGCAATTTTCAAATGCCGGCGCCTCTGCTGGAAAATGTTTCTGATGATTCCTCGATGTCTCACCATAAACACATCAGGTTCGAAATAGAGGCTAGAAAGAATAAAGCCTTCTAATTATAGAAACCCAAAACTTACCGACTGAGGCAAATTTAAAGACGAAATTACAACCTATGAGAACAGTTGTCCTGTGAAGCAACGGGTAATGGAGATTAAAACGCCCTGGTGGAACAAGACACTCAGCTCCTTGAAAACAGACAAGAAAATTGTTCAATAGGGCTAAACACACCAACGACTGGAGCGAAAACAATACACTTTCCATTATCTATCGAGTGGTAACCTGATGCAAGAAGGGCTGTGGTGGTAAATGCGATTGACAAACGGCACTAAAAGCCTAGCCGAAAGGATAATCACCGAAAATAATATTAAATGAGCTATCAACAGCTTCCAGCCCTACACCAGGTGAAGACGGGATCTTTCCCGCCCTCTTACAACAGAGT